CTGAATGAAAAAATTTTAATCCACCACCAATTCATTATCTCACGGATCGAATCGAATTGGATCCATTGAATAACAAATTGGATTGGATTGGATTCACGGATTGAAATTTTTCCTAAATATTCTATAGTATTTATTTTTTAACCAGAACCCAATAGATAAAATTTTAATTTACCACCATTAATTTATATATTTAAATGATCATTTACTACTACATTCTTAGAATTCATTAAATAACAATCAACTAATTAAATTAACTAATACATTATTTGAATATATATATATATATATATATATATATATATATATATATATATATATATAAATCTCATGGATCGGACTCGTAGATCGGATCGGATTTTTAACATTTTAATCTGTGATCCGATCCGTGAGTTACGAATTCCTTTTTTTTTAATTTGCCACGATTCGTCAGTGTAGCAATCCGATCCGATCCACAAGGATCGAACCGGATCGGATTCATGGATTATTTGCCCACCCTTAGTTTTTGACCCGACATAAGAGTTTTTTTTTTTTTTTGTTTTTTTTTTTAAACTGAAAATGGCCCAACGAGCAAGACTCACAGCTATGTTGTGATGTAACTTGCTTTTTGACGAAATATCATCGTTTAGGACCTCAAAACGAGGTTTTTCTATCCTAAAGAAGCTTGTCGAATATTTCAGAATTTTCGTTCGTTATCTAAACGACTTGGATTGCACTCATATTTTATATTTAGAGTTTTATTTTATTAAGTTTCTTTCTCTAATTTTTCAGAATTTTTAGAGAAGCTTTATTTTTAGGTTTATTGATTAGTGCTGAAATATGCATATTTCAATCTTTATTCTTATGATCGTTAGCACTTTAACCCTATCTTTATTCATTATTTAGTACTTATTTGCATTACTGTCATTTTCAAATTGTTGCATCATAAAAGGGTTCATTTCAGTGCATTAAAGTCTTTTTGGAGTTTGGCAATAAAGTGAAAAATCACGATCGATCCTGGGAAATCACGAACGATCCTGCAAATCTACGATCGATCTTGGCGAATTCACGAACAATCCTGGTTGGCATAATTCACAACTTTTCAAAACTTATCATTTTCATAAAATAAAATTACAGGAAAAATAAAAACCATAGCTTTACCAAACAGGCATGTACTATATCATTTCAAACTTCTTCTTTCTATTTCTATAAGTTTATAATTCTTTCATAATTATAACATATTCAAAATAGTGGTTTTTTCCCCCCTCAAAATAGTGTCCAAGAAGTCAAGCTGAGTAAAAGTTATTTATTTATTTATTTATTTTTGGTTAAAGGATAAGCTTTACTAAGTAAAAGTTCTTTCCCCTGGTTTACGGATAATGAGATGCGGGTTGAGAATTATGAACACTGCTTGGACCCAGACCACATTTTAAAATTTGGTAAAGTTGTTAAAATTTGACAGTAGAGTTGTTAAATCAATGCAACTCAATTATTGAAGGTGACCGCAAATCATTGATGGCTTCCTCAATTCCACACAACTCTTATGCAGTAATTTGGGAGGACATTTGGTGTGTGATTTAGCAACAGACTCAATTCTCTCTTAATTGGATAGGGAGAAAGGGTAATCAAGTTGCCCATTGTTGGAGTTAAATTACTTTGTATGCTAATATGTTCAATGTTCGGGAGTCCAACTTCTCTCAAAATGTTTTGAGTTGGCTACCATGGATTGTAAGTAAAATTTTGCTATGGATGAAAATTTGTTTGCTTGTTTTGATAAATATATATATAGTGGTATTCAATTGCTCCCTGGTTATCAAGAGCAATATATTCACTTTTAATCCTAATCTTAAGATCTAATCGTATGGTTAATAAAAGAAAATTTGTTTGGGTGAACTGCAAAAAATCCCCCTCGACTATTACCCCGTTGCGAAAAACCCTCCTTATAAATATTTTTGGTAAAAAAATCCCCCTTATCCTAATGGGGTGCTTTTAACTGATATCCGTTTAAGTGATTTTTTGAAGCAATTTTTTGAACGAAATTAACCCTTAACACATAAGTATAACACGTGAGGGGGAGGATCGTTTTTTGACCTGACCTTTGTAGGTTAAGTCCTGATCTCTGATGACCATACTTTTGTCAGTTAGGCCCTAGTCTTGGTCTTTGATGACCAAACTTGGGGTAACCGGGCACTGATCTTGGATGACCGAGCCTTTGTAGACTTTGGGCAATCAATTCTTAGTCTTGGTTAACTAGGCCTTGGTTTTGGATAACCAAGCCTTGATTTATAATAACCAAGGATTTATAATAACCAAGTCGTGTAGAGAATAGAAAACCGAATAGCTCGATGTACCAAGGTACGATCAATCTTCTAAACCTTGTCATCATATGTAGATCGGCGATTGATATCGTATGATCCACTATTCTGCCCCCCATGTTGGGATCTTGGGTGATGACCCATTCTATAGACGTTTATGCAACAGATGGGGTGTCTGGTGCTGCAACAATTTACAGTTGTCTAAAAATATTGGATTGGGTTAGAAGTAATTACTAAAAATTAACCTGCAATGGATTATCAATCCAAAATTCTGCATAATCTGAAGTCGATAGGCCATTCCTGCAAGGGAAGAGAGGTGACGACTGTCGTCTGGTAGGTGGAGACTTAGTGTCCAGTGACTGGCTTGATGCCTGGTGGATAGAGGCGTGGTACCGAACGACTGACAGATGATGGTCTGGTGGTCAGTACCAGATGACGGTCTAGTGGTCAGTACCTCGTTGGGTCCAATGATCGCCCTTAACTTAGGAACCTGCTTGGGAATACAGACCTCATTGGACATGGGATCTTGAGGGACATTGGACCTCCTTAGACCTGAAAGTCTCTATACATTCTTGGGTGTAGAAGGCCACCCTGATTGTATGAACGGACGGAGTAATGAAACTCCGTTGTTAGAGACATCCTTAGTAGTAGAAGCTTTACTAGTAGGTAGAGACACTCTTGTTGGTGGTGATCTTTTTTATGGGTGGAGACCTACCCATTTATGTAGGTACAGACAGACCAGACCTTAGTCTTCAATGATCTGACCTTGGTAATTGGTTGCTGCCCGATATGAGATGGAGTCTGGTCTTAGACAACCAAACCTCAATAGTGAAGGGACCAAGCATCGCTAGATGGAAAACACCATATTGGACTGCCTGGGTCGACGTGCCAAATTTTGAAAGGTGGCATCATGTAACCCACTGTTTTGCCCCCAGTATGATAGACAAGTAATCAAGATGTAGAGTCTCGTCCTTATATAAGAACATGGAAACCCGTTGTCAACTGATGACTTTGGGAAGGTTTCCATGATCAGAAACTTTCGTCTTGTCGTCCGAGCCAAGTCGCGTCGGGATTATTATTTCTTCAGAGAACTAATCGTTCCCACAGACGGCGCCAGCTGTTGATGCGTAAATCCTCACGACTCGGAACGACGGCGTTTACCTGCAAAACAAAGGGACGTCACTTTGAATGGCACCGGTGGGGTGCCAGCCAAGGACCCTCCGACGATCAAGTTAGTACTTGTAATCGTATCACATAATAACTATGTATCTTTTGTTTAGGAGTTTTTTCTCATACATTCTTTAACGGCTTGGTGCCCTATTTATGGCTGTTGATTGGAATCCAATTGGTTCCGCCGATGTCAATGGTTGATCTTATCTTCCGCTTGTGCGAGATCATAGGAGATTTGTTGCCAGATTTGTCGGAAATATGAATAATCCTTTTGACCTCAATTATGATAGGATTATTCTTATCCTGTTGAACCACGTCAGATTTCATTATCCTTGATAATAAAATATAATCAATTTTATCGAGGGTAGGGTAGGTTTATATTTTTCCCTATCAATATTATTACATCTTTAATGCAATTGTTGCATAACATTACATTTTCGATGTAAATGCTACAACCCTTCGTACCAAACAAAATAACAATTAAACTTATCATCACAACCAATCATAATTAATGGAGGAGGGCATTGTTTTAAGAACTTTTTCATCGTCATCTCATCAACAATTTCACTTAAACTTGGTGACATGAAACTATGATAGCAGTTGGATTAATGCTCGAAATGATAGAAGATGGAGAATGGAAGATGAAAGAGCCAAAATTGAAAGCGGCTTGCTCAAAGTTCAAACTTCAAACAACGTGTTACCTGAATCATGGCATAAAGAGTTCGGTTCAATTGCTACTACTAAATTTAGCTGCAATAAAGGCATGAGTTTAGCAAACCTCTAATGAAATAGCCATTGAAAATGGCTGTGAGCTTTGCCAGTTAGAAATGGCTACTTTGAGCTCTAGTTAGTCTGGAGGCATTGGCCGTGGACGTATTGCTGTAGACGAGAGACTTTTCACTTCTTGAAGCTTCCACTCGACTCTGATGATGGTGAGTTCCTGAAGACTCTATTGTTCGTTTCCCGCCATATATCCTAGACAGGAGAAGCTAGGGCCAAATGACGTACCCCAAACCAAGGAGAGTATTGTTTCCAATGTTGACGCGCCCAATTGACAAACTGGCCCCAATTGCTACTCAATGTGTAGAACGTGCACTTGTCATGAATAAACCTCCAAATAGGTGAAACAAATTCACACTCCAAGAAGAGATGGGCGTGGCAAGTGTTGAACATAAGTAAATAATAGCTGTGGAATAAGACACAACCCCTAACACTCGATGTATGTGCTATGTAGCCTATGTGTCTTGCGGCATTTACCAGGGAAACAGAAGATTTGTCAGCAATTAAAAATGACAGTCTTGAGACATTGAAACAGACTGTTACAATTGAATTATATGATAGGTGGCTCTATACCAAAAAGTAACTTGGTAAAACAGAGCTCCAGCAAAATCAAATGACGAAAGAGAAATCTTAAAAATCAAATATAAAATCTGAAAAATGAAGGGGATGATGATGGAACAGAGAGCTCTAACAAAACACTATCATTATATACAAAATGAAAATTACAAATATGGAAAGAGAATAAAAATTAAATCAGAATAAAAATCAAATCCCTAAACAAAAGTCTAAACATTAGCCTTTAATGAACACCCAATAAATCTGTCACAATCATCGAGTCAACTTATAGATATGATTTCCAACGATTACAATTTACAAACAACATAGTTTCAGGTTCAGGAAGATCAAATAACCACAAATACAGTGCATATACACATGTAATATTCCAAACAAATATACACTAAAGTTAACAAGCAAACGTAGAATGGATAAATATATGAACATGCTAAGCTGGTTGAGGAAAACAATACAGTTATCTTCACATGCTTCAAATTCTAAATCATGGAACTGACGTGATCTGAATTTCTCAACCCAAATTCAAACCGTAACTGAATCTTTGTCCAAGTGAATGCATATTAAGAGCGCTTTCACCATTTGATTTATCCTTCTTGATGCGGATGAGCTTGTCATAAACACACCATGGAAAACTAAGGAAATGATCCCGATCCATTCCCTCGTTATAGCAGCCCCAATAAGTATGATGATACGTAACAAAGTACCAAGCTGATGCTTTTGCATATTCATCATCATCAGACTCTCTTCCTTTCTTGTTGAACCAAGTTCTGGCTTCCTTTCTCAAGGACCTAACAGCCAAACCAACGGCTTCCGCATCCTTCCTCTTGTCAAATGATTTTGACATTTTCATGATACTACCACTGAGTATTTCAGCCTCAGTTTTAATGCCATAATAATCCATTAGATTCACCAACTTGTAATCATACTCGCTTTTGTAATTGAAAGCATCCCTAAGGTAATCCTCAAAACCATCTATCTCCATGTCAGGATCGTATGACCGCCTTGCCACTTCCCTGGTGAAGGATTTAATAGAGCATTTGTGTGGCGCGATGTCTTTCACCTCTCGAAAAAGCTTTCCAATCACACACTGCGATTCATAGGTGGTCTTGTCAGGCTTTTCCATAAAATCTGGATATTCTTTGACACGTAGATGAGATGGTATCTCAGCTGGCACACCGGTCTTTGGGAAGTCAACCGCTATAGAAAATAGCTTTGCGAGCTCTACACAAGGCTTGCCCATTGCTTTGTTAGGATCTCTATCAGCAAAGACTGTATGAGCATTGGCAATGATTCCTAAGCTGTCATTGACGATATAGTCCGTGAAATACTCCTGGACTTCCTGTAGTGCAGAAATAAAATGAGAGAGAGAGAGAGAGAGAGAGAAGTCAACTACAAGTTCATGGGAGAAAAGATGGAACATTGGAGAGAGCAATTGACTTCACTAACATAAATTTATATCAACCATGTAAAAGTGTACATGGAAGTAAGTCAACAGATCAATATTTCAAGGAATTTTTCATGAGTGTCAACTAATGCTATGAAGTCAGCTAGAAGGTTTCTAGCATTTGTATATTATACGAGTACTTGATCTTTCTCACAGCATTGGCTGTTCACCATAAAAATAATACAATTGATCAGCACCAAATTAACATATGATAGAAGCAGAAAAAGTAACTAGTATGCAGAAAATTTGATAAAAGTAAAGATACTCATGTTTGGTGAGTATCTGAGGAAAAAGTAAACCAAGAGATCAAAACAAGAGAATTTCTAGAACATGGATATAGATACGAGTACATGTCCAGATTCTTTACATTTGCATGATGCTGATTCAGTATCATTTATGCTTAACCATGCTTTATTGAGTCGAGGATATATTAGGAGATTCATATTTTATGGGCATGGACTGTAGGAGAGCAGCAAATATTCTTTTAACTCTCTTTTTTATTTTTTTCATTTTTATTTTTTTTTGGTAAAAGAGTTACTGGTATGTACAAAAAGATTGGGTTTATGAGTTGAGAGATCAAAAGGAGAGACAAGTTGTGAACAGAACTTAAAATGCTCCAAGAAATTCTTAATATTGTACATAGCGTTTAAGTTACATTATATAATCTTTCAACAGATTTAATAGATGCTACAGAAAACCCTATATTGAAACTATAAAATTGAAAGAATTCACGATGGCTTACAGGTTGTTAAGCTTTCCAATTTCCATAATTTAAAACCACCATTAATCAGTAGAGCAGCATTGGTACAATCAAAATTTTCCTTCTTTTATACCTATATTACAAGCCTTTGAGAAGTAAAGGACCGTAACCCTAGGCTCTAGCGTAGAGTTGGCACAAAGCCCGTAATTTATACCTAGAGGGATCGTGAACAGGTCTAGCTAGTTATTTTAACGAACTTTTAAATTTTAACTAAATTACCAATAATTTAAATATCAAATTATTAAATCACTCAACCCATCATGCCGTAATCATATGGCCAATCAAGCTTTTTAGGTAAAAGCAGTAAAAAGTAGACTAATATGGACACAGATTTTTACGTTCAACCCTCAATGGAAAAAAACCACGCGACCTAATCCTAACAGAACAAATCAACTAAAAGAAAGAGATTTACACTAGATTAACAATTTAAAAACCCTACAACCCCTTGTTACCTCTTGACCCTTACTAATCCACCAAACTCTCCACTAGTGATGTAGTCCGCTATTGATATAAGACAATTTTATTGTATTTAGTAATTTTTATTAATTAGTTTTTTTTTTTTTTTTTTTTCATTTTTATAATTTTCAGAGTTTAATTTTAAGTAGTTTCTTTACGCTTGTAGTTTCCTTGCGCAAATAGTTTCTTTTTGCTAGTAGGTTTCTTTATGTTATTAGTTTCCTTATAGTGTTAGGTTTTCTTTTATATATATATATGCATTTACTGCACTAGCAAAATGAGAACCTTTTGATGAATAAATATCAGATTGCCTTTTGATGAATAAATATCAGATTGCTTTGCAATTTTCTTTTAACTTTGTGGATTCAAAGTTGTTTACCGTTCCTTTGTGAACATTCATAGCTTCTGTTTATGTCAACTAGAGTCTACAGTCACAAAGTCTGCTCCGTCAACATATATCACTACTCATGTAATCTGCTTCTTCTGTGGTACTTGGATCTCTAGGCTACTAGTTGTAATCTCTGTAGAGCAATCAGCTTGCATTGAATTCCAGTTAAACACAGAAGTAGATGATCCAACTTATGTAACAAAACTCACCAATATAGAATGAAAAAATATTGATGAAAACCAAAAACCATATGCGCATGCTCTCAGTATAAGCCTCTTTGTATGTTGTTCAATCATCAACATTAGTCCAAAAGCCTTCGTTACAACCCTTGATCCTTGGCACCTAGAATTACAAAATAGCTACTACGAAAAAATTTAGTAACCTTACCCTTCATATAAAACAACTTCAACCATTGTCCTGTAACCTATTTTCTACTTCACACTCATAGTATTTGTTGGAAATCATATCTATAAGTTGACTCGATGATTGTGGCAGATTTATTGGGTCTTCATTATAGGCTGATGTTTAGGCTTTTGTTTAGGGATCTGATTTTTATTCTGATTTGATTTTTATTCTTTTTCCATATTTGTAATTTTCCTCTTGTATATAATGATAGTCAGGCTCTCAAATTGAGTACGCCAAATTTACCAAATTACTTTTTGGTATCAGAGCCACCTATCATATGATTCAATTTGGTATCAGAGCCACCGCCGGAAATGGCGGCATAAGCCTCGTCTCCGGCGACGGTCCAAGGTTCAACCACCATGCCATCTCAAGGCGTCATTTTTCAGATTTCTCTTTCGTCGTTTGATTTTGTTGGAGCTCTCTATTTTGGCCCAAGAGAATATTGCATAGCCTTTTTCCTGGCGTTGTTCCGGTATTTCCAACTTTGTTTCAGATCTTTTTCATCTCTCGGATGGATAGCTCCGGTGTAGGGGGGCTCTACTCCCAGGTTAAGACCCCTGAACCCTTTTTGGGGGGTATCCCCTTAGCATTTGACATGTTCTAAGGGTCTCTCAGTGTTGTTTGTGCTTTGTTTAGGCTGCCGGTGTGTTCCGCAGCATTGTTCTTTGCCTTGTTAGGCTGCCGGTGTGTTCGGTAGCATCATTCTTTGCCTTGTTGGGCTACCGGTGAGTTCAGTAGCATGGTGTCTGCCGTTTCCATATCTCCAACAGTATTTATTGCCTTATTTGGGTTGCCGGTGTGTTCGGTAGCATTGCAATCTTATTGTGGAAAGGATACGGTTGTTTCACATCTTAATATAGTCAAGTTGAGCTTGGTTGATATCTTCCCTACAGCTTGAGGGGGAGTGTTGGAAATCATATCTATAAGTTGACTCAATGATTGTGGTAGATTTATTGGGTCTTCATTATAGGCTGGTGTTTAGGCTTTTGTTTAGGGATTTGATTTTTATTCTAATTTGATTTTTGTTCTCTTTCCATATTTGTAATTTTCCTCTTGTATATAATGATAGTCAAGCTCTCAAATTGAGTATGCCAAATTTACCAAATTACTTTTGTATTTAATAACCTAAGTCCATAAAAAAAGCTACAAGTTTTAGGCAGCACTATTTTATTTTTTAGAGCTATATCAAAATATATTTCACATAGAGTTGAGGGGGAAATATAGTCTTCAAACTTTTCATGACGAGTTAGCAATGAAAGTTTGAATATTTGGCACTTCAATGTTTAAAACGCAATGTTGAGATTTCTCCAATTGAGGGGGAATAATTTAAGTGCTCAAGAGGCTCAAAAACAAACAAATTCCAAGAAAATTAAAGAAAATTAAAAAATAATAATAATAATTCCAATTTTAATGTGGTTGAAACCTCGTGTAATCAAGTTTCAGTTTGAGTTGAATACTTACGTTATTTCCTTAGATTATTATGCTAATGTGCATTCTATACACATGCTGTTTAAATCTTTCAGTCTCATAGAGATCAATTGAGAGTGTTTTCAGAAGCTTCTCAACCTTGCTTGGGTTCACCTGATGCAATTCAGACCTTAAATTCCTAGCCCCTACTTCCTGTTTTCTCCTCCTAATAATTAACTTTGTGTAAGCCCTTAAATCCACCACCAGATTTTGTAATATTAATTCTATTTTAGAAAACTTACACTTCCAAGAGCAACCCTACCATTCTTCAAAATTTCAACCCTAGCATCCGGGGAAAAAAAAAAAAAAAATCAGTCCTTTTACTCTTCATTAGTAGTGTTCACAGTCCTAGAATAATGCCAAAAATTTGTCTCCTTTGCCTAACTATACAAATGTTGTTCGAAAAGTCGACATAATATAACAGAAGCTAGCAATACACACACACACACACACACATATATATCTTTCTGTAAAGACCAACCCTTTTTCTAATTTTTCGGATTTTCTTTTTCTTTTATTTTTATGACATTGGTATACGTGTACAGGGTTCTCGAGATTCTTTTTAGACTTTCTTCGAGTTCTAGACTCTTAGAAATGCATTCCGGACCATTTCCTTCATTTTTGGATTTTTGACCCTGGAGGTCACCGTGTGAGTCCGGGACGGATTTTTCAGCTTGGGATTATTTTTCGACGCCGTTAATTTTTTTATTCATTATTTTCAATACTGGTATTTTTACTTTCACAGTTTTGTCCGTTTGAGCTCGTTTTGACGACTTTTTCTTTTTGGGGTCGTGTGAGACCCATTTGTTGACTTCTTGACTTTCTTGACCTAGTATAAAAGTGAGGGATGAGAGAGAGAAATTAGCAGCCATTTCATTCTTCTTCTTCCTTTTTCTTTTTCTAGATCTAGTTCTTCTCTCCTCCATATGAGAGCCTTCCTTTGTGATTCACCTCTTACCATAGAAGAGAGATATGTCTGTCTTGGTAAGGTCTTGCTTTCTATCCGATCAGTATTTCATTTATAGCATTTTTGAGTTTTTGGTTTGAGCTCAGGTTTGGATTTTGGAGGTGCCACAAGAGAATTAGTTGTTGCCTTTGTTGTCCCCGACGTAACCCCGAAGTTACGTCGCCTTTGGAGCGGTTTCGTTTTGGCATCATTTGAGGTTTTCACCTCAAATTGAGGTAGGGGTGTCTTATGCCTTTAAATTGCACTTTCTTTGGGTCTTATGGGTGCGGGAGGTGTAAAGCATGCTTATTTGCAATGTGTATATGTGAGCCTTGATTTACTTTATATATATGTGATATATATGCAACATTTAAGGTATAAATTTGTTATTAATTGTGCCTTCAGCTATATTGGGTTTTGGAATTGTTGAGCATGATAGAATAGGAAAGGAATGAGTTAAGTTTTGACATATG